AAAGTTGCAAGAGACTGAATAAATATGAAAGTAGTCCAATAATGGGGAAGAAAAAAGAAAAAAAAAGACCTAATTCTATATAACTTTACTTTTTTTTTATTTATCTGGCCATTATTGATTTTTTTAAATCAGCCACATGTGCTTTTTAGCCTCCCGGGTGTTTGTGTTTAACTCTGTATTCTTATGTGTGTGACATCAGTGCTGAACTTTAACTTCACAGAACCCATTCCGTATATATTGAGGGTATGAAGTTAAAAATATATCTTTTTATCCCAGATGACACATTTCAATGGTTAAATTGAACCCTGTGAAGAGGCTTTTGAGGTCTCAGATCGAGACCGAAGTGGTTTTCACATTAAAGTCACCAGGAAGTCAAAATAGGCAATTTTAGTTTTTTTTTAGTAATATTGCAGTATTTATTAAAAATGATTTATCGGTGTGCATCATTATTGTTTTAAATTCATGTTCCTGGTAATTTTAAATCAGAATAACTTCATCTCGCAGCATCTCTTCTCTACTCTGATGATGTGGGCGGAGCAACCTGTCACTCACATGAGATCAGCCAATAGCAAACCACAACCATCCAATCAATTCCCCACAGACAAAATCAAGCCCCGCCCACATTTGTTCTTGTTCCAGAAGTAGGGAAGAAAAAATTTCAACTTTCATTTCAACTTTAATCAAACTCTGGTCTGATCTAAAAGCATGTACTCACTGAGTCCGGTGACAAACTCTTTAAAGTTGATGAGAGAGTCCTTGTTTTGGTCGAGCAGGCGGAAGAGTCGGCTGGAGAGTGTGTGTGTGTGAAGGCCACAGCTCCAGGGTGCCAGAGCGGAGAAGAGCTGAACGAACTGCCCGCAGTCGATGCGATACTGCTCCAGATACGGCAGACTGGGGTCGTGACGCTCCGCTGCTGTGCTGCTCGAACCCCAGTAACAGCTCATGATGTGCTTCGCCTGCCACACACACACACACACACAGTTTAGTGCTGGGCAACGATTAATCTCATCCAAAATAAAAGTTTGTGTTTACATAATACAGGTGAAACTCGAAAAATTTGAATATGGTGCAAAAGTTCATTTATTTCAGTAATTCAACTTAAAAGGTGACACTAATATATTATATAGACTCATTACATGCAAAGTGAGATATTTCAAGCCTTTATTTGTAATAATTTTGATGATTATGGATTACAGCTTATGAAAACCTTTTCACAATATTCTAATTTTGAATTTGGGGTTTTCATAAGCTGTAAGCCATAATCATCAAAATATGAACAAATAAAGACTTGAAATATCTCACTTTGCATGTAATTATATATACAAAATAATTATACACAGTACAAACACATATATTATGTAAACATAAACTTTTATTAATCGTTGAATCGATTAATCGTTGCACAGCCTTAAGTTTCATTGACAATAACTAGAGCCGGACGCTATGACACTATGTACTGTATTAATATACTCACACACAAAAAATCATCAAATTACATTACATCAAGAAAAGAGAAGCACCTTTCATTTGGATGAATGGATTTATAAAACAAACTATATTATGTTATCATTCCCATGATCTAAACTATAACGTACTATACTATAACTTATACTGTACGCTACTATAATGAACAAAACTATAACGTTCACAAATACACAGACAGCTAGTGGTTTCTTTAGTTCAAAATGAGCATTATTGTGTTTGGAAGAACAGAACAGATAAAACACATTTATACACAAATTAAATAAAATAAATAAATAAACACATATTAATTAATTAATTAAAAATGTGTTATTAATATTTTTTTTTTTTTACGCCATGTCAGCAGCAAGTCTATCTTCATGGCAAGAACAAACTGAATAACATAATATCATATAATTAACAAAAAACTATAAAAGACATTTGATTTAAGATAAATACAAGACAAAAATTCTAAAATTACACTCAGGTGATACTTTTTTAAATGCAAAACATATCTCTGTATGCAAATATCGTCTATATAAATTAAGTTATTATAATAATAATAATAAGCATACATTATTAATAATTATTCATATCAAATTAATAAATGCAGAGTTGTATCTTACCTTAAACAGAACGTAGAGTTCTTCCAACTCCTCAATAGTGAAAGCGGAGTCTGTCATGATAGCTCTCACCTGAACATCACAAACACACACATACAGGATCACATGTGGAAATGCCTAAGATTGTGAAATATGTTCTCTCGACGCACACACACTTACCACACTCCTCTTGGCCGTGTCTTCTAGTGACTGTATGACCTTTAACCTTTGTTTTGAACCTCATCTGCTCGATGACGTCGGCACGCAGGCTACCAAACTTCTGCAATTAGACAAAAGCGACTGTTAAAAAGAGTCGCATTGGTCATTGGTCAGGAAAACAAAGCGCTAAGCCCCGCCCCCTCACCTCATAGGACGCTTTGATGAGCTCAAAGGCGTCAATCTCAGGTGGAGGGTTGTTGCCACTGGTCAACAGAGCATGAAGGTGAGGAATGGGCGGAGAAACAGTCTGCTTATTCACAACATTATCCAAATATCTACAGGACAGAGAAATATGACAGCACACACATTATTAAGAACATATTCACAAAACACAGACAGTAGAAGACGGCAAATAAAACAATAGTGAGAAAAATCTAGATTTTTTTTTTAAGGGAACAGTTTATTGAATCTTTAGAGAAATGATTAAAAGAAACTCAAGTTTCGCATTAGTGTTTTTGTTGAGTATCAAAAATTTTTATACATGTATTTGATACATCAGGCGTCTTATATAGTATGATATATGGAGAATATGGAGCTCAAACACCTCAGTTTTAATACAAAAATATGCAATTTAGTGCAGATGCTGATATCTATATGGACAAAAAGATGAAATTCTGTTGCATGTCATGTAAATCAATGAGATATTTATAGCAGTATAGCAGATACTTACATAAAATGCATATGAATATCATATAAATATGCTTTAAAACATAATGCAATGCAATACAATGATGATTGAGAGATGAACAAATAAACCTGGTGATCATATTTAATACTGATCTTTCTAAAAATGATGTATGGATAAACAAGTAAACCTTAGTTGCTAAGTTCATCTTATAATATTAGTTACATTTACATAATATATGTAATCGGTAATTTTGTACAATTACACTAAAAGACCCTTTTACTTGCTATAAAAGTCTAAACTATCAATCAGAAGACAGAAGCTTGTAGTGGAGTGTGTTTTCAGCAGATGTTCATCATTTACAGGCCTTAGAAACGGCCATATTAAATATGATACTGTAGGCTTTATAAGGCTAAAATTGATTCATGAAATTTAAAAGGAAAAAACAGTTGTTAAATGGTTTATGTGTCAGTGTCATCTGAAAGCTCAAAACTATTACAATAATACTGCCATCACTCTTTATTCGCCTTGTACATATAATGAATATGGGTGTAACGATACCCTCATGTCACGATCCGATACATATCACGATTCTGAACTCACGATACGATATTATTGCGAGACACATGATAAAAGGTTAACAAAAAAAGGACTGTTGATTAAAATGCTAAATATGATATTATACTGGGGTATAAATGAATAGGCTTGGACTTGGTCCTGATAACCCAAAGCACAGGACAATAGAGACACCAGAATACACATATTCATGATTCTGAAGATGAAAACAGAATTATTGTAGATGAATATGCTTGCTCTCGGTCACTGACTAGATATATGTAAAATAAAGTAAGCCACTTTTTACTGGTATCAAGACATTTGGCATTATCAGGACCCACAAATATTCCCCCATTGCATTATTATACATTATATTCAACATTATTTATAGTAGTTTAATGTAGTACTGACACTAAAACTCAGTAAACGTGATTTTTTTTCCCACACAGTAATTTTTATTTTTGGTGAACTGAACACAATAAATATTGTCACTATCCACGATACATAGTTGCATTTTTGTATTGCGATATATTGTGCCATGATTTATTGTTACACCCGTAATAAAGAATGATATGATGTTGCATTAGCCACACTCACCTGCCCAGAATGGTCATGGCCTCTCCTTCATCTGAACAGGACAGCAGCTGATCCATGTTTGCATGTAGCACAGCTAATGACACCTGGACAAGAGTCACACACACGTTACCCCTTATTTACACTGCACACGTCTGCGGCGCATTACGGCTCCGACGGGGTTTCGTTCCGTCCTCCACACGGTGCCAACTCACACCAGGAGCGTTTCAGAAGCTGGATGCGCGAGACCACGTGATTTGCCTGTCCAACGTGTTTTTTCTTGATTTTTGGGTTTCTACTAGTGCCATTAATCGCGATTAATCGCATTAATGCCATAGTTAACTCGTGATTAATCGCAATTAATCGCACATTTTTATCTATTCTAAATGTCTCTTGATTTCTTTTTGTCCCATTATTTTTTCTCATTTTAATGCTCTTATCAACATGGAAAAGTGGATCGGCTTGCTTTGTGCAAATGTTTTTTATTGAAAACAACATTGACATATACTGTGTTCAATTTCACACTAACATTCTCACTTGGAGCAAATAATCTCTCACACAATGTAACACTGGCCATCAATAAAAGGGTGAAAGAAATACTGACGAGGTCCTGATATTGACGAGGGGGCGGAGGATTCGCATCAGCTGTGTGTGTGTGTGTGTGTGTGTGTGTGTGTGTGTGTGTGTGTGTGTGTGTGTGTGCTTGGCCATCATCAAGTGGTGTTTCAGACTGGACGTGCTGCGATGATGATAGCTCAGTTCACAACGACAAAACACACAGATCACTTTGGTCTTGTCAATGGAACCATTTGGCAACTTTTTAAAAGTAAACTTTCCATTCAGAATCTTATTGGCATCCATTTCGGCGTCTCGTGCTCGTCACCCACTCAAAACGTAACGTTAACCTACTATTTGGCCGGCTCGCAAGCCCAAACAAGTGTGTGCGGCGTCGTGCCTGTTGTTTTGTTTCTGGTCTAGCTAGATCCGCTTGCGCTTTGGTCGACGAAGCAACAAAACGTCCTCGCGCGGCGCAAGCCATTGAAATGAATGGGTTTGCTGCGTCCTGTTGCAAAAGCATGTGAAAAAACTAAAGTTTGCTATGCCAAAAAGACCGTTAATCGCGATAAAAAAAATTTAAAATGGGTTTGCGTTAACGCCGTTAATAACGCGTTTAACTGACAGCCCTAATTTCTACCTTACAGTCTATGGTTTCTACCAAGGATATATTGGTGTGCAATACAATGGAGTCTGCTTATTTTGAAATTGACAGTGTTTTTTTACTTTTGTATTTATCGTCAAAAATAGACTCGGCGCCTATCTTTAGTGAATGAGGGTAAGTCCGATTGACATGTCAGTGCCGTTCTTTAGGAATTGTTACTTTAAGACACTCCTACAGTCTGTAGGTTTAAACCGCTCAATTCATATAGACTAGCTTTACAATCTCTTTATGAACATTATGGATATGGTAGTTGCGTAGATGTCAATGGAGGGACATAAAGCTTTTAGATTTCATCAAAAAGATCTGTATTTGTGTTTAGAAGATGAACGAAAGTCTCACGGGTTTGGACCGACTTGAAGGTGAGTGAATAACAACATAATTTTCCTTTTTGGGTGAACTAACCCTTTAATTGAGGGGGGGGGGGGGGGACTCTGCAAACAATAAAACTTTAGATCTTCCAATGATTTCATTGGTCTTTGATAGTGCTGGGCAACGATTAATCACATCCAAAATAAAAGTTTGTGTTACATAATATATGTCTTTGTACTATGTATAATTATTTTTTATATATATAATACACACATATGCATGGATATATTTAATGTATATACGGTATATATATATTTATACATAATTTATATTATATATAAATATAAATAAAATAAAATTTGGGCTGTGAAAAGATTAATCACATCCAAAATAAAAGTTTGTGTTTACATAATATATGTGTGTACTGTGTATTATTATTTTGTATATATAAATACACACACATGCATGTATGTATTTAAGAAAAATGTGTTATTTATATATAAAATAATTATATTTATATAAAAAATAAATGATATATAAATATATACATGCAAATATTTCTTAAATATATACATGCATGTGTGTGTGTTTATATACAAAATAAGTATACACAGTCCACACACACATATTTAATGTAAACACAAAGTTTTATTTTGGATGCGATTAATAGTTGCCCAGCACTAATGAAGTTTCTGTTTGTGTAATGAAAATTAGTTCTGTGTGGTGAAAAATGACCGAGATTTCCTGTTTTTGCACCTGGAAAATGACTTTAATGCCCTCGTAGAAGAAGCAGTCGACCAGCAGCACGGCACTGTCGAAAGGCATGACGGACAGGAAGAGTGTGAGGAACCAGGACAGAGAGATGGTGGAGATGACGCCCAACTCCTGCATGCGCTCGTACAGCAGCGGCAAACACTCGCGAGTGAGCTCCTCAAACACTCCCTGGTCCACCAGCGCTCCTGACACAGAGAAACACTGCTGACAAACATATACACACGCAAAAAGTCACAGCTGTCATCATGTGTTTAAATGTGTGTGACTGACCGACAACTCTAGTGTTGTAATAGTCGGGCAGCATCCGTTCACACAGAGCCACGAGCAGCCAGAACGCCTGCTCTTCAGTGCAGTACAACAACAACACCGACGTAACAATGTTCATCGCCTGGAGGAGAGAGAGAGAGAGAGAGGGGGAGAGAGAGAGAGAGGGGGAGAGAGAGAGAGAGGGGGAGAGAGAGAGAGAGAGAGAGAGAGAGAGAGAGAGGGGGGGGGGATTAAACAGACTCTCTCGTACCACTTTTCTTCGGAAAAACACTGATAATGTACTATATGTGAGTGTGTGTGTGTGTGTGTGTGTGTGTATGCGCGTGTGTTAGTTTGTGTGTGTGTGTCTACCTGTGTGTGAGTGTGTTAGTGTGAGTCTGCCTGTGTGAGAGTGTGTGTGCCTGTGAGTGTGTGCCTGTGAGTGAGGGTGTGTGTGTGTGTGTGTGTACGAGTGTGTGCGTGTGCACGTACGAGTGTGTGCGAGCCTGCGTGTGTGTGTGTGTGCGAGCCTGCGTGTGTGTGCGCGTGTGTGTGTGTGTGTGTATGTTTGTTGTATGTGTGAGTCTGCATGTGTGAGAGTGTGTGTGTCTGCGTGTGCATGTGCGAATGTGTGCGAGTCTGCGTGTGTGTCAGTGTGTGTGTGTGTGCCTGTGAGGGTGTGTTAGTGTGAGTGTGTCAGTGTGCCTGTGTGAGTGTGAATGTGAGTCTGCCTGTGTGAGAGTGTGTGCGCGCGAGAGTGTGTTAGTGTGTGTGTGTGTGTGTTTGTGTGAGTGTGTGTGTGTCAGAGTGTGTGTCTAAATGTGAGTGAGTGAGTGTTGGTGTAAGTGTGTGTGTGTGTGTGTGTGTGTGTGTGTGTGTGTGTGTGCGTGTGTTGGTGTAAGTGTGTGTGCGTGCGTGTGCCTATGAGTGAGTGTGTATTAGTTTGAGTGTGAGCCTGTGAGTGAGTGTGAGTGTGTGAGTGTGTGTGTGTGTGTGTGTGTGTGTGTGTGTGTGTGTGTGTGTGTGTGTGTGTGTGTGTGTGTGTGTGAGAGAGTGTACCTGGCAGTATCCGATGCCGGGGTTCCTGTAAGCATAGGCCGTCAGCACTCGTCTCAGCGCGGCGATGCCCATCTCGTTCTGGAAGGCGTGATGCTCAGGCATGGAGCGGTGCAGGTCTCTCTCGATCTCCTCCGTCGCTAGAGTGCATTTACCCATCGCCTGCTCGATCAAACCGCCGTAGTAACCCGGGTGTGTGTTCATCTCGTTCTGAGCACCTGGAAAGTCATGGGATCATAATGAGATTCACGACAATCTCCATGACAGCAGCTGACGGCCTGTTCTCCCTCCGACAGCGTGAGATCTCACACTCACATACAAGCAGCAGAAGTCGACACACAATACACACTTTGGCTACATTTGGACAAGCACACTACTCACACTCCCTCAGCATGTTAACTGTGCACACACACACAGTATACAAACGCATACTCTAATGATGCACTGCAGGATATAAACAACACACAAAGCTGAATAGTGCATCCCATAATGCAAAGTGAGATATTTCAAGCCTTTATTTGTTATCATTTGGATGATTATGCCTATAAGCTTATGAAAACCCCAAATTCAAAATTAGAATATTGTGAAAAGGTTTTCATAAGCTGTAATCCATAATCATCAAAATTATAACAAATAAAGGCTTGAAATATCTCACTTTGCATGTAATGAGTCTATATAATATATTAGTTTCACCTTTTAAGTTGAATTACTGAAATAAATCAGTAATTCTGCACGATATTCTAATTTTTCGAGTTTCACCTGTGTATTATTATACATATACTTACTTTACATATTTTATCTGTGCTATATAGTGTTATTTTAGTACTATTTATATACTATTATATTATTTATGAATATTTTGTATTGTCTTTTATTTCCCACGGTGGACGGCGCCTCCTGGTGTTCTGGAGGATTGCTCACCTGAGAACAGCAGCCACAGCTCTCCTCTCAGACTCTCAGGGATGCCGTTCAGGACCAGCTCTCTCGTCTTCGACGTGCGGTACATACACACTCCACGGCCGTACTCGAAGAAGTGGATATTCCACGATTCCTCTTTCATCTTCTCTCTCGTCTGGATGAACAGAAAGACGAAGGTCAAAAAACAAAACCAGACAAAATTATGGCTCATTCTTCTCACATTAAAAAAAATCATTTGATCTCAAATCAATGTTTTATGTCTATTTCCAGTTCCACATCTGTCCAAAAGTATTATTTTGTTTTTTGAGAGAGAAAAATTAAGCCTTTAATTCATCAAGGAAGCATTTATCAAAAGTGACAGTTAAGCATTTAAAATGTTACAAAAATATGAAATAAATGCTGTTCTTATGAACTTATGATCCTGCAGTATTACAGCTTCCACATAAATATGAACTATTCTCAACATTGATAATAATCATAAATGTTTCCTGAGCAGCAAATCATCATATTAGAGTGATTTCTGAAGGATCATGTGACGCTGAAGACTGGAGTAATGATGCTGAACATTACATTTTACTGTATATTTACATAGAAATCAGTTATTTTAGATTTTTTACTGTATTTCTGATCAAATAAATGCAGCCTTGCTTGATAGGCTTGATAACAGACCCCTGAATTTCATGATAACTGTGCACTAAGCCTTACATATTACTACCCTCCCATCTATGTATTCCTCTATTATCTATAATAAAGACTTGAAAAAAAGAGACTTGATTTTTAAAAGTGTGTGTGTGTCACTAATGCTATAGATAATAAAAATTATGTAATGGGGGTATTTGTTGATCTGAAAAAAGCTTTTGATACTATTGACCATGACATACTTATAAATAAAATGGAAAGGTATGGTATCAGGGGGATAGTATTAGACTGGGGGAGGAGTTATTTAAGTAAGAGACAGCAGTTTGTGAAGTTAGGAAGCTCCAAGTCAGTGTGTCTGGACATTGCTTGTGGTGTCCCCCAGGGGTCAGTGTTAGGACCAAAACTGTTTATTTTATATATTAATGACATATGTTCAGTATCTAAGTTGTGGAAGATGGTGTTATTTGCAGATGATACAAATATATTTTGTTCAGGTGAAAACTTACAGCAACTAGTGAAGGATGTTACTAAAGAAATGAACAAATTAAAATCATGGTTTGATAGAAATAAATTATCATTAAATTTAAATAAAACCAAATTAATGTTATTTGGGAATTGTAATATGAATATTCAGGTAAACATACAAAGAGATGGGGTTATTATTGATAGAGTTCACGGAAATACATTTCTTGGGGTAATTATAGATGATAGAATCAGTTGGAAATCACACATTAAATATGTACAATCTAAACTATCAAGATCAATTGCAGTATTAAACAAAGCAAAGCAGGTTCTGGATCAAAAATCCCGCCACTTGTTGTACTGTTCACTAGTTTTACAATATTTCATCTACTGTGCTGAGAGTTGGGGACACAACTACAAAACTTCATTACATTCACTATCTGTGCTCCAAAAAAGAGCAATAAGAATAATACACAACGCTGGGTATAGGGATCATACTCACTCACTATTTCTTCAGTCAAAATTATTAAAATTCACAGATCTTGTGAAGTATCAATCAGCCCAAATAATGTTTAGAGCCAAAAATAATCTATTGCCGAGGAATATTCAAATATGATTTTGGAAGAGGGAGGGTGGTTATAATTTAAGGGGGGCACACAACTTTAAATCAAACAGGATACGGACAACCAGGAAAAGCTTTTGCATTTCAAGTTTCAAGGAACAGTCTCAATGAGGAGCTAAAGCAATGTCCAAACATAAATCAATTTAAAATCAAGTACAAAGATATGGTTTTCAAGGGTTAAAGGGATGAAGTAGGCGGTGAATAATCAGTGTTTTTGGGGCTAGTAATTATCTTCAGTTTCATGGTGTGTTATTACGTTTTTGTTTTGTTTTTCTGTACTTCTGAAATGTTTAATGTATTATTTCCTAATATGTATGTATTAATTTTTTCCTTTTGTTTTGAATTGTTATGGGGTAAAACAAAGTAGATGTGTAAATATTTGGAGCGCGGGTCGATCATGTGTAAGCTTCTGACTTGTGGATAGGGGGTGGGATTAAATACGTTTTTTTTTCCTTCTTCCCACTCCTTTTCGAATTTGTAATGGACAATGACAAGAGTTAGAAAGTCTATGGCTGTAACTATTGTCAATTAATTTGTGTTATTCTTATCACTTTGATTTGTTTATTTGATTTTCATTTTCTTGTTGGATGTTCTTTTTTTTTACATATATATATTAGGGCTGTCAAACGATTAATCGCATCCAAAATAAAAGTTTGTGTTTACATAATATATGTGTGTGTACTGTGTATAATTATTTTTAATACATAAATACCCACACATGCATGTGTATTTAAGAAATATTTGCATGTATATACTGTATATAGACTGAATGTAGCCTATATATAATGTATATTTTATATAAATATAAACATTTTATATATAAATACAATTTTTCTTAAATATATACATGTGTGCATTTATATACAAAATAATTATACACAGTACACACACATATATTATGTAAACACAAACTTTTATTTTGGATGCGATTAATCGTTTGACAGCCCTAATATATATATATATAAATTCAAAATAAAAATAAATTAAAAAAACCTTTTACAGTATGTATGATTCAGCCCCTCAGATCTGATTTGTGCCCCCTCAGTTTCATTTTTGTATTCATGGTTACAAATGAAATGTTTAACCTTGTGAGCGGTACGGTCCCATACAGGCCCGTCGCCAAGGGGGGGCATTAGGGGGCCGTGCCCCCCCAGATGACACAACGTGCCCCCCTAATCATGTGGTCATTGAGCAAACTTACTATTGAGAGCAAAAAAACGTATCCACGTATTCCATAACGAAATGTCGTCAGCAGCATTTAGCACACAGGTGCACTTATCTCTGTAACTTTAAATAACACATTGTCTTCAGAAATATGAAAATTAGTCGGAGCTTGTAAGGCTCTGCGCAAGGCTTGCCTTCCCCTGGTCAAGCGGGCTTGTTGAATTTTCTGATTCATTTGCCTGCTAAAAACAGCCTACTGTTTCCACGTAAAAAAAAAGGTAATTTTTCTCAGAACTGCGTGATATAAAATCAAAATGGCAAGTTATAAAGTCAGAGTTGAGTGATATACAGTCACATTTGCGTGTTATAAAGTCAGAATTGTGAGAAAAACTCTGAATTGAGAGAAATCCATGTGAGAATTGTGAGATAAAAAAAATCGCAATTATCATTTAAAATTTTTTATTCCGTGGCGAAAACAAGCTTCCATATACTTCTGATTGCTTTTAGAGGGAAAAGCTGTCCATAAATGCTGGTCTAGGATCAGTTTTCTCTGTAATAAAAGAATATTGGCTAAACTCCGGTGTTTTGAGCGGTGAGTGGATTAGTTCTACGCGCGTGCAAATCCTCTCGTTATAATAAGCAGTGAGGGTATGCAAATAAGGCATTATTGTGTATCAGCTTTACTGATAGCCTAGGAACTTTGTGAGATCGTGATGAAGTTGTATAACCGCTTTTTAAAGATAATAAAATAGGCGCTCTTTGAGAGCTTTCTGCCATGTCAAATCCTGCATATAGCCTAGTAAATGTTTTTAAAGGGGAAGCGCATATCCTCATGGTGTTGGTTCACCCTCCGCCTATGATCAGAAACTTAATATTTTGTGTTTTGGTGTTGTTTAAATATAGAATTTGGTCTATTTCAGTTATATTAGACTAAATAGGGGATGTTATTGTTTTTGTGACTGTCTGTTTTGTAGATCATAAAAAGTGCCCCCCCCCCCCATGAAAATGAAATGCCCCCCCATTCTATATGTTCTGGCGATGGCCCTGGTCCCATATGGGATGTATAATGTCCAGTGACGTGACATCACTACCAGTTTCGCGCGTTGGTTGGCACTGGGCCAGAGACGGACGAGCTCAGCGCTGTCATATATCAAAACTATGCAGTGTTTTCAACCTCATAATGTTTATTTTAGGTTTCAGACATTGAAATACACATAAGCACTAGTAAAACAATACATTTGGAGTTTGTAGAATACACACGGATGTCTGTGGAAGCAGTAATAACAATCTATCCGAATATAATTTGCCAACGTGTGTTATTCATATCAGACAAACATAGTGGAAGTGACTATAAAGTTTACTCTATTCTTCTCACAGTTCACCGGCCACTTTCTTACGTGTATTTCGGGAGAAACTGATGATGACTGACAGGACTCTCTGAACTCCGGCGCCCATGGTGGCGCCCATCTCATAGATCAAGATTATTAATAAAGGTTTTAAACGACCAAACACACTCACGTACACATTTTTGACAATCGGAATATCAGATAGTTGATGACATGGTAAGCAAGTTTGTGAATATTTAGACTAAAAAAGCGATACACATCTGTCATTTATTATTGTGGCTGCGGTGTGTCACGTGACAAATATGACGCGTTGCCATGGAAACATTAAGGGGGAACGCTCTAAAATAAACACTCACTCTGGGGAGTCAGTTAGAATATTTTAAACTTAAGCGTGAAAGAGTTCATATATGAATAATAAATTATGCTGGCTTATCTTTTTATTACGCGGTTACCTGTGCAGTGCATATGGGGTGTTTTATGGAGCGCTGCATTTAAAAATCTGTTGTTCCAAAGCGAGGTGTGTATTGATTGTTCATTGATGGTATAAAGTTAAGCCCCCTTAACAATTTCACATGCCCCCTCAGTCATTTCATCCTGCAGCCGGGCCTGGTACGATTGTTTGAACCCCATCACATGAGGGTGTGTCTCACCACTTTGGGCCCCAGCTCCTCCGGGACGTCCTGCTGGTAGATGCGCAGAAGGCCTTGCTTGGCAGTGGGCAGACTGGGACTGTAGTGCTGGTTTTGGGGCATCTCTCCGAGCCCCAGCTCAGGAGACGGGGGCGTACTCGGGCTGGGGTTCTCCTGGAGGCGCAGGTCACATGACATGTTTACAACAGACCAGCCATGACGACGCTAGAAATGAGTTATGCTTCAACGGGGGAAAATGTCTGCAAGCATGAAAACTAAATAAATGTTTGAGGTCAGTAAGATGTTTTTCTTTTCTTTTTAAAAAAAAAGAAAATTTACTCTTTTTTTCCAGCAAGGATGCATTAAATTTATCAAAATTGACAGTAAAGACATTTATAATGTTACAAAATAGTATATTTTTAAAATAAATGCCGTTCTTTTGAACTTTATTTTTAAATTAAAGAATCCTTAAAAAATATGTTTCACAGTTTCCTCAAAATTATGAAGAATCACAAATGTTTTCAACATTGATAATAATGTTTCCTGAGCATCAAATCATCATATTATTATGATTTCTGAAGGATCATGTGACACTGAAGACTGGAGTAATGATGCTGAAAATTCAGCTTTGATCACAGGAATAAATTACATTTTAACATATATTCACATAGAAAACAGCTGTTTTAATAAATAATAATATTTTACAATATTGGTGTTTTTACTTGATTTTTTTTATCAAATATATGCAGCCTTGTTGAGCAGAAAAATGTATTCATCTAACCGACCTAAAACTTCTGAAAGGAACAGTATATAAAATTAAATACTATGCAAATTCCTTACATCAGCTTTAATGGGAGTGAATATAAACCTGGTTAAAATATCATGCGTTCTGATGACTCACGGATTGAGCATTTAGGCCACACGGCCTGTCAGGCGTGCGCTGCAGGAAGTCAGAGATTCGCTGAACCAGGAAGTCACGGTCTTTGAGGTTAGCAAACAGGAAGGTCATCTTGTTTTTAGTGCTGATCGACAGTGGACTCGGCAGAACACTGCTGCTGTCGGCCTTCTCCACTATGGTCACCTACAGGGACACAGTGAGAGAGTGACTGTCCTGCTGTTGTGCAACTGTATGCGAGCCTGTGTTTGTGTGTGTGTGTGTGTGTGTGTGTCAGTGTGCGTCAGTGTGTGTGTGCGTGCGTGTGTGTGTGTGTTTCAGTGTGTGTGTCAGTCTGTGTGTGTGTGTGTCAGTGTGTGTGTGTGTGTGCGCGTGCGCGTGTGTGTGTGTGTGTGTGTCAGTGTGTGTGTGTCAGTGTGTGTGTGTGTGTCAGTGTATGTGTTGCAGTGTGTGTCAGTGTGTGTGTGTGTGTGTGTTGCAGTGTGTCAGTGTGTGTGTGTGTGTGTGTGTGTGTGTGTGTGTACGTGTGTGTGTGCCTGTGAGTGAGTGAGTGTTAGTGTGTGTGTGTGTGTGTGTGTTTGTGTCAGGGTGTGTGTGTGTGTGTGTGTGTGTGTGTGTGTGTGTCAGTGTCTGCGTGTGTTGGTGTAAGTGTGTGTGCGTGTGAGTGTGTGTGCGTGTGAGTGTGTGTGCGTGCGTGCGTGTGAGTGTTAGTGTGGTTGTGTGTGTGTTGGTCTTAGTGTGTGTGTGTGTGTGTGTGTGCCTGTGAGTGAGTGAGTGAGTGAGTGTTAGTGTGTGTGTGTGTCAGGGTGTGTATGTGTGTGTCTGTGTGTGCGTGTTTTGGTGTAAGTGTGTGTGCGTGTGAGTGAGTGAGTGTTAGTGTGTGTGTGTTGGTCTAAGTGTGTGTGTGTGCCTGTGAGTGAGTGAGTGAGTGTTAGTGAGTGTCTGTGTGTGCGTGTGTTGTTGTAAGTGTGTGTGCGTGCGTGTGTGCGTGTGAGTGTTAGTGTGTGTTTGTGTGTGTCAGTGTATGTGTGTGTGTGTCAGTATATGTGTGTGTGTGTGTGTGTGTGTGTGTGTCAGTGTATGTGTGTGCGTGTGAGTGAGTGTTAGTGTGTGTGTGTGTGTGTCTGTGTGTTCACCTCTCTCAGTGGAATGATAAGTTGACACAGATCTTCCTCTCTACTGGCAAAGCAGATGTAGTTGTTAGAAACAAACATTTGACCGACGACATGCATCTTCGTGAACGGCGTCCAGAGCGTACAGTCGGTGTGTCCATCCAAACGCTCGTCCTGCGTGAGCCGGAAAAGAGCCCTGTATCGCTCGTTCTTTGCACGCGCATCCAAGTCCCTGAAACATGTGAGAACAAGCTCTAATTAAAGTAGTTAAACCAAGATCTATTTATTTATACCGACTCTTTAAAATGCTTCAATTATATTATCTTCACCTATAATGCTTCAACTATAAATCACATTTGTTTGACATATCTCTCTCTCTATCTATCTATCTATCTATCTATCTATCTATCTATCTATCTATCTATCTATCTATCTATCTATCTATCTATCTATCTATCTATCTATCCATCTATCCATATACACTCACCAGCCACTTTATTAGGTACCCCATGCTAGTAACGGGTTGGACCCCCTTTTGCCTTCAGAACTGCCTCAATTCTTCGTGGCATAGATTCAACAAGGTGCTGGAAGCATTCCTCAGGGAGTTTGGTCCATATTGACATGATGGCATCACACAGTTGCCGCAGATTTGTCGGCTGCACATCCATGATGCGAATCTCCCGTTCCACCACATCCCAAAGATGCTCTATTGGGTTGAGATCTGGTGACTGTGGAGGCCATTTTAGTACAGTGAACTCATTGTCATGTTCAAGAAACCAATTTGAAATGATTAGAGCTTTGTGACATGGTGGAAGTAGCCATCAGAGGATGGGTACATGGTGGCCATAAAGGGATGGACATGGTCAGAAACAATGCTCAGGTAGGCCGTGGCATTTAAATGATGCCCAATTGGCACTAAGGGGCCTAAAGTGTGCCAGGAAAACATCCCCCACACCATTACACCACCACCACCAGCCTGCACAGTGGTAACAAGGCATGATGGTTCCATGTTCTCATTCTGTTTACGCCAAATTCTGACTCTAACATCTGAATGTCTCAACAGAAATCGAGACTCATCAGACCAGGCAACATTTTTCCAGTCTTCAACTGTTCAATTTTGGTGAGCTCTTGCAAATTGTAGCCTCTTTTTCCTATTTGTAGTGGAGATGAGTGGTACCCGGTGGAGTCTTCTGCTGTTGTAGCCCATCCGCCTCAAGGTTGTGCGTGTTGTGGCTTCACAAATGCTTTGCTGCATACCTCGGTTGTAACGAGTGGTTATTTCAGTCACTGTTGCCCTTCTATCAGCTCGAACCAGTCTGGCCATTCTCCTCTGACCTCTGGCATCAACAAGGCATTTCCGCCCACAGAACTGCCGCTCACTGGATGTTTTTTCTTTTTCGGACCATTCTCTGTAAACCCTAGAGATGGTTGTGCGTGAAAATCCCAGTAGATTAGCAGTTTCTGAAATACTCAGACCAGCCCTTCTGGCACCAACAATCATGCCACGTTCAAAGTCACTCAAATCAACTTTCTTCCCCATACTGATGCTCGGTTTGAACTGCAGGAGATTGTCTTGACCATGTCTACATGCCTAAATGCACTGAGTTGCCGCCATGTGATTGGCTGCTTAGAAATTAAGTGTTAACGAGCAGTTGGACAGGTGTACCTAATAAAGTGGCCGGTGAGTGTATACTGTTTATATACATTCATATATATATATATATATATATATATATATATATATATATATATATATATATATATATATATATATATATATGGGCTGTCAAGCCATTACAATTTTTATTCTAATTAATTGCATATTAAATATGGCTGAGAAATTACCCCCAAACGATTATTTAAAGTCATTTTTGTGTTAAATGAGAAAATAATCAAATAAACATTACAAAAAGTATAATATAATTGTATTTGATTCATCGTAGAATTCATTACACAAACTTTAGGTGGCAACGGCCATGAGGGTGAACAAATTGTTGGGGTTTTTATTAATATGTAAATATGAAATAATTTTTTTAATGAAATTACAGGTATACTCTAAATAAGAAACTAAAACTGCCAGTAAGTGGCTTAAATGCCTAGGAACATACTACTTCAAAATTGAGCAAAAGCAGATAATATTGTGTCTAAAATATAACACAATATTATCTTCTTATTTATTGAACTGTTGTATAAAATCAGCGTTACATTTGCACTCGTGCCATTCGGGACAAAAACAGCACTCGTGTGATATTGCTTAACATATCATTTGACATAAATATGAAGACAAAAACTGCCCTGATATCTTGAATTTTAAGGGGTTGTAAAGAGTTGTGAGAAAAATGGGACGTGTGCGACAGGTCTTAAAGTGACAGCAGCCTAATAACCCTGCTGACGTTTGTCATTAAAGGATTAGTTCACTTTGAAAACAACTTTTGCTGATAGTTTACTCACCCCCATGTCATCCAAGATGTCCATGTCTTTCTTTCTTCAGTCGAAAAGAAATTAAGGTTTTTGATGAAAACATTCCAGGATTTTTCTCCATATAATGGACTTCAATGGGGTCCAAACGGTTCAAGGTCTAAATGACAGTTTCAGTGTTTGCAATTACGTTGAAAAGGTCTCACAGAACAGGGCAAGGCGAGCATTTGTGCTTATAAAACTTAAACTTTTTTATTTATTTTTGAAATGACCGATCGTTTCTCTAGATAAGACCCTTATTCATCGTCTGGTGTCGTTTAAAGCCCTTTGAAGCTGCACTGAAACGGTCATTTAGACCTTGAACCGTTTGGACCCCATTGAAGTCCATTATATGGAGAAAAATCCTGGAATGTTTTCATCAAAAACCTTAATTTCTTTTTGACTGAAGAAATAAAGACATGGACATCTTGGATGACATGGGGGTGAGTAAATTTTCAGCAAAAGTTTTTTTTAAAGTAAACTAATCCTTTAAAGACAATCAAAGAACAAAAGAAAGAGAGAAAATCACTCAGTGCTCTTGACTGAATAAGTTTTGTAGCTTCAATAAGGATTAATCTATATATAATTTATAATGTATGCAGTAAAGACTGCGAAATGTTTGATACATTTTCTATAAATTCTGTATATATCCTTCAAAATTTCTGTATATGAAGAGTTCAGATGCAAAAGCCTCTAAGTGCCATCTGAAATTTTCTTCTAGAATGATCATTTTTATCAAGCTCGTATATTTAAGTTCAGTAATTTCACTTAAATGGCTATGAAAATTACCTATTAATTGTCATTTAAGTGAAATTATTGAACTTAAATAAACAAGCTTGATAAAAATGATCATTCTAGAAGAAAATTTCAGATGGCACTTAGAGGCTTTTGCATCTGAACTCTTCATATATCCTAACTGTTAGACTGACCTGAAAATCGTAAAGCAAAGGTTACAAGGGACAAAAACAACAACTTTCTGTGCATTTTGACAGGGCAAGTATAAATCTCAACTGGTCTGACTGGGCCAATAGAAAAAATTGAGCCCTGATGTTTTAAGTTCACTTAAAATAAAAGCTGTTAAAAAAATTAAAAGCCTAATACCGTATTTTCCGGACTATAAGTCGCACTTTTTTTCATACCTTGGCTGGTCCTGCGACTTATAGTCAGGTGCGACTTATATATCAAAATTACCAAGATTTACTCGTCACAGGATCGCTGACGGCCCCAGATTATTATTTGCGAGTTTTTGATGTATTTGTGGTATGACGTGAATGCATCATTTGCCGAAATTGGGGGTGACATTACCGTCTACAGCCACGAGAGAGCGCTCTAGACTACAGCTAGTTTTACCGCTGAAAAAATTAACTGAAAACAACTGATATTAACTGAAATATTAGACTGAACGCAAACAAAATGCCCCCAAAAAGAAAATCATATTCTGCAGATTACATACTGCAGGTAATAAAATATGCAGCCGAAAACGGTAATCGAGCAGCGTTTGGAGTGAATGAGAAACTTGTGAGGGACTGGCGAAAAGCAGAGGTTCCTCTAACTGAAATGAAGAAAACAAAGAAAGCTAATCGCGGGCTGAAAGCAAGATGGCCAGAGCTGGAGGAACGAGTCCACAGATGGGTGCTTGAACAACGCGCTGCCGGGAGAGGCTTGTCAACGGTGCAGTTGCGTCTCCACGCCCTGGTAGTTGCTAAGGAGATGAATATACTGTTGATGTGTTACGTTAACAACATACCGGACACATATTCAGCCTGTTGTTCTTTGTGCTATTGTGTGTAGCTGAATAACTTAAATGCCTTCTGTTTTAATGAATTAAAGTCTGTTTAAATAACTTTTTCTTGGTCTTGGATTTTGTTAAATAAATTTCTAAATAAATGCGACTTATAGTCCAGTGCGACTTATATATGTTTTGTTCCTCGTCATGACGCATTTTTGGGCTGATGCGACTTATACTCCGGAGCGACTTATAGTCCGGAAAATACGGTAAATGTTAAAATTGTTTAATTTTATTGTAATCTTGAATGGCTATACTTATGGGAAGAAAAAAAATCAATTTCATAGAGACATCAGTAGCAGTATTGGTATCATACTGGCCTTCTTAAAAAGACGCCATTAAACAAATATTTAAAATGTAGGCAACGGTCTTTGTAGTTTCTATATTAATTTGGAGATTAAATGTGAAATTTTTACAATATAAAAAGATCTAAACAAATTCAATGTTAGGTGCGATTAATCGTGATTAATGTGTAATTCATTTGTTTTTTTATCGATTGACAGCACTAATATATAGTAATATAGTAATATATATATATATATATATATCTCATCTGATGCGGTTTACTGACCTCTTTAGTGCGGAGACGTTTTTCAGGGTCTTGCAGGGTTTGGGGAGGAAGCGATCGGCGGAGAAGCTCTCGTTGTCCAGTAACTGTCTCATGGCGATGGTGGCCAGCTGCTCCATCAGTTTGAAGGTCTCGTTGATGTTCAGGAACATGGAGAAGAAGTGTTCGGTGCCGCGAGTGCTCACGCGGATGCTCTCCGGGAAAACCAGCGTGGCGTTCTTGTCCAACTGCGTGACGTCCGTCCACTGCACCACCAGCGACACTACAGCGAGAGGAGGAAGGAGGAAGAGGGAAAAGATGTCCAAATGAAAAACAAGAAAGAGGACAAACTGATTTTATTAAAGGAGTAGTTCACCCAAAAATTTAAATTAGCCCATGATTTACTCGCCCTCAAGTCATCCTAGGTGTATATGACATTCTTCTTTCAGACGAATACAATCAGAGTTATATTAAAAAATTTCCTGGCTCTTCCAAGCTTTATAATCACAGTGAATGGCCGTTTCTGTTTTGAAATCCGTAAAGGTGCATCTGTCCATCATAAAAGTGCATCTGTCCATCATAAAAGTGCATCTGTCCATCATAAAAGTGCATCTAATTCTATTCATCATAAAAGTGCATCTGTCCATCATAAAAGTGCATCTATGCATCATAAAAGTGCATCTGTCCATCATAAAAGTGCATCTGTCCATCATAAAAGTGCATCTATCCATCATAAAAGTGCATCTATCGATCATAAAAGTGCATCTATCGATCATAAAAGTGCGTCTGTCCATCATAAAAGTGCATCTGTCCATCATAAAAGTGCGTCTGTCCATCATAAAAGTGCGTCTGTCCATCATAAAAGTGCATCTGTCCATCATAAAAGAGCATCTGTCCATCATAAAAGAGCATCTGTCCATCATAAAAGTGCATCTATCCATCATAAAAGTGCATCTATCCATCATAGAAGTGCATCTATCCATCATAGAAGTGCATCTATCCATCATAAAAGTGCATCTATCCATCATAAAAGAGCATCTATCCATCATAAAAGTGCATCTATCCTTCGTAAAAGTGCATCTGTCCATCATAAGAGCATCTGTCCATCATAAAAGTGCATCTGTCCATCATAAAAGAGCATCTATCCACCATAAAAGTGCATCTGTCCATCATAAAAGAGCATCTATCCACCATAAAAGTGCATCTATCCATCATAAAAGTGCATCTGTCCATCATAAAAGAGCATCTGTCCATCATAAAAGAGCATCTGTCCATCATAAAAGAGCATCTGTCCATCATAAAAGTGCATCTGTCCATCATAAAAGAGCATCTATCCACCATAAAAGTTCATCTATCCATCATAAAAGTGCATCTGTCCATCATAAAAGTGCATCTGTCCATCATAAAAGAGCATCTATCCACCATAAAAGTGCATCTATCCATCATAAAAGTGCATCTGTCCATCATAAAAGAGCATCTGTCCATCATAAAAGAGCATCTATCCATCATAAAAGTGCATCTATCCATCATAATAGTGCATCTGTCCATCATAAAAGTGCATCTGTCCATCATAAAAGAGCATCTATCCATCATAAAAGTGCATCAATCCATCATAATAGTGCATCTGTCCATCATAAAAGAGCATCTATCCATCATAAAAGTGCATCTGTCCATCATAAAAGAGCATCTATCCATCATAAAAGTGCATCTGTCCATCATAAAAGAGCATCTATCCATCATAAAAGTGCATCTATCCATAATGACTTAAAAACAGAAACAGCCATTCACTGTCATTATAAAGCTTGGACGAGCCAGGACAATTTTTTAATATAACTCGATTATATTCGTCTGAAAGAAGAGTGTCATAAACACCTAGGATGACTTCAGGGTGAGTAAATCATGGGCTAATTTTCATTTTTGGGTGAACTACTCCTTTAAGCATAGTAGAAGAAAAGCAGCATGCACTAACACAATTTCACACTAAAAAAAGAACATTTAATTCAGTATGAATCAGCCCTTTTCACAAAGTGTTCAAAAGACTCAAATGACATCACTCAATGACTCTCCTGAACACTGAAGTCTGATTGTTCAGTCTTGGTATTTCTGTGGTCGAATACTTTTGTATAATGACCACTAACAGCAAGATCTCATGTGCTACTATAATGTCTCCTGAATCCCTGCACACTCGCTTTCTTTGCACAGAATAAAAAGATTGAAAGTCACCATGAAATCAAAATTAATTCTTGTTTTTTATGGTATGCCAAATACAGTAATTGAAAACAGTTGTGCTGCTTAATAATTTTGTGGAAACCGTGAAGCCTTCTCTTCTCTGATGATGTGGGCGGAGCAACCTGTCACTCAGATGAGATCAGCCAATAGCAAACCACAACCATCCAATCAATTCCCCACAGACAAAATCAAGCCCCGCCCACATTTGTTCTTGTTTTACTCAAATATACGACACAACAGGGAAGAAAAGAAGAGCGCAACTTCCATTTCATGCCGACTCAAATCATATTTCCTGCTCATTTATTTAATTATTGAGGGTACGTTTACACGACAACGATATGCATCAAACTGAGAAGTTTCGAGAAATCGACACCAGTCAAAACGATCCCCATTCAGACGGATCTGTGAAAACGATTAAAAACCCTGTATTCTGCTTCCGCTAGATGGCGATGAAACACTATAGACTGAACATGTAATACGCAATTGCATGACGTCATCGTCTTCACAAATTCACGTTTTTGTCGTTTACACGGAGACCATTTTGAAAAGCTTGCACTTTGAAACCCGTTTTCCAAAGTTTGCGTTTTCAGGCACCCAAAACGCTGTTGTTGTGTAAACGAAAGGCCAAAACGCATAAAAAGTTTTCCGTTTTTAGTTACGGTGTCGTGTAAACAGCTAGCCTGGCTCCGCCCACCTACGTACTTCCGCTCAATATTCATTTTCCTTCAGAACTACGTCTGGGATTGTGGTGTATTCTTTGGTTTTCTCCGGTCAATTTTTTACCGGTCCAATCAGAGAACAGAGGGAGTGGCTGAGAACGATGACGTTGATGTCGTGCGCTAGTTTCAGTGGTTTGAGTCACGACCAATCGTCAATGATTGATTATGGCAGATCTAGTGGTGCACGATATATCGGCCGCCGATATAATATCGTCCGATATGGTCAATTTTTTACACATCGGTATCGTTCCGATGTCAAAATAGGGCCGATGTGAACAGGCCGATAATCATTCCTGTGTATTTGACGTGTGTGTAGATGTGAGTGTGGGGGCGGGGATGTTTGTTTTTGCACAAGCACGAACGCGCAAGTCCTGTCAGTTTAAACATCAAGCGCAAGAAGACTGGAACTTGCGCGCTGTTTTCTGTCAGCCTTACTAAGGCGTATTTTTGTCCCGCCGAAGCCGTATTTGACCGGTGAGTGATGTAGATGACTGACTGCTGCGCTTGTTTAACTGAGACAGGGCCGGCCCGAGGCATAAGCGAACTAAGCGGCTGCTTGGGGCCCCTTGGCCGGTAATGTCATCGGTAATGTTAAGCCATGTCACAAAAAAGGACGTATCCCTCTGGTGCCGAAAATAGAAAGAAGAAAATGAGGAGAAAGGAGGAGGAGGAGAAAAAAAGAGCAAGATAAAAGTATGTTTTTATCAAGTATCATTCCTATCTACGGCAAGCCCCGAGGGGAAAAATACATTCCATACACACATATGCAACGAGCGCCAGTACATCATTACCGGTTTTATAGTAACAGGCTTTGTAGGATTCTGTCATGTACAATCCAACAAAGTCTGTTACAATAATAGTCCAAAAAAAAAGATTTTGAGGACAGTTACACTGTATTAAGACAGTTGAGAAATAATAATATTTTTACAGTTTTCATTTCAGTTCTGTCATTATTTTAGCAAATAATTTATTTGATATGTTTTGAGACAGTTTGTTTTAAGTAGTTCCAAAGAGTTAGTAAAAGAGTAAAGTAAAAGTTAACACTTTTTTATTTAAGTAGGCTATTTATTTTGTATTAATACATAACCTCAATGTATTAATTTATAATGTATCATTATTGCATGATATTTGTGTCAATAATCGTCAAGCACAGTTGACTCCCAAAAGGCTCGGGCCGGCTCTGAACTGAGAGAACAGTCATGTTCAAGAAACGAATTTGAAATGATTCGAGCTTTGTGACATGGTGCATTATCCTGCTGGAAGTAGCCATCAGAGGATGGGTACATGGTGGCCATAAAGGGATGGACATGGTCAGAAACAATGCTCAGGTAGGCCGTGGCCCAATTGGCACTAAGGGGCCTAAAGTGTGCCAAGAAAACATCCCCCACACCATTACACCACCACCACCAGCCTGCACAGTGGTAACAAGGCATGATGGATCCATGTTCTCATTCTGTTTACGCCAAATTCTGACTCTAACATCTGAATGTCTCAACAGAAATCAAGACTCATCAGACCAGGCAACATTTTTCCAGTCTTCAACTGTCCAATTTTTACACATTGATGGCCTAAGACACGAAACGAGCGGTTTGTGTGAGAAAACGAACAGTATTTATATCGTTTTTACCTCTTGTAAACACAGCCAGGTCCAAGGGATCTGACGGCGCCGGCGGTTCGGTCTTTTCCGGAAAGCGCCGGAAGTGATCTCTCGCGAGTGTGTACGTCACTCATACAATTGTTTTATTTTTTATTTTTTTGGAATTGTTTTCTTTTACGACGGTTTAAACATCCCGAATAAGCGCAAATTAGTACCCTTTTAATTAGCCGTCTTACCTACAATCCCTGCTCTGTGTAAACAATGAGTGGCGTACACGCGCGAGAGATCACTTCCGGTGCTTTCCGGCGCTTTTCGTTTTCTCACACAAACCACTCGTTTCGTGTCTTAGGCCATCAATGTGTACTTACATTTACGAGTCATGTTTAATTTGGACTTCTCTGTGCATGCTCTTTGAGGTGGTGACCATAGACCTGCATTATATGACTGACAGACAAGAACGGTTTGACCTAAAAATATCAAAATTGAAAATACTGCGGAAACAAAGACACCTACATCTTGGATGCCCTTGAGGTAAGCTAAAACATATCAAAAATTAATTTCAAAGTGAACTATCCCTTTAATATCGGTTATTGGCCACAATTTTCTCATCGGTGCATCACTAGGCAGATCCAATAGTTTTAAACTTCAACAGAGGACAAGGAAGTTAACGCTTGTCAATGGAGCGAGGCCAGACTCTCTGTACAAATGAAACGTACGAGAGTCTGGTGGGACCAGGCTAGTAAACAGCCTCTTAGAGTGCAGAACAGTAATAAGTCACAACTTTGTAATCATTATATCCCAACTAGAATACATTATATATCTCGGTTTGCTTTGTAAAATCATGTTTGCTTTGGTTCTAATTTTCTCTTGTCCTATAAATTTCAGTTTCACCGTACATTTCGAAGTATGCTCTCGCTCGCCTCACCCTCTTTTCCCAGCAGGAATGAGTAGAAGCAGAGGTGGTTGACGGAGAGGTAGATCCAGCCCTGTCGTGGGACTCTGCCCTTCCAGTAACTGCAGGGGTAATAGTTCACCAGCTTCTCTTCCTCCGGCATGCCGAACAACTTCCGCATCTTCAGCTCGGCTTCCCGGAACTTCCCAGGATCCTCGTCTTCCTGAGGTTTGCCGCTTTTATTCTCTTCAGCGATGATGCCCTACAAAGGAGGACAATCTTCACATGACGTGTGTGTTTTAGGGCTGTCACTTTACGTTCGAAGTTTCGAAAAAGAAAATAGGGAATCGATTTTAACAGCCTTTTTTTTTTTAAACCAAAAATGTGTTTTAGGTGGACAGATCAGGACACAGAACAAGCAGGATGCTGGAAACTAACAATTTAGACAACAATTTAAACTAACAAAAAAATAACAATAAAGAACAGTCTTTTCTGTTCACCAAATGCTTTTTCATATTCGCTATTACTTCAATGCAAGTGAACAAGCGCGCCGTTATGTGTTGCGTAGTGACGTCCGTGTGTGTTCAAGTAAGCCAGAAATGAGCAGATTCTGCAATACGCTGTATTTAATATATCATGAGGACTTGCGTATTTGCGCTAAATCCGCGCAGATTTGGCTTACACGAACTTCCCCAGCAAAGTGAGTAAACATAAAAACGCCAGATTGGCTCGTGATTTGACAGCGTTCATTTGTACCCGCATTTGGCAAGTCGAGGGTGTTAATTTCAATCCCTGAATGTTGCGCTCCTGTTTGTCATTGTGCACGAAACTTCACGCCAATAAATCATCAGAAATATTGCTGACTTGTGCGTCTCAAGCGCCCTCTTTACGTTCGTCCTAATGCCTGTTAGGTGTCCGTGGATTTGCCTGTATTTGGTGTTGAAAATGGAAACGTCTTTAGACATGGAAAATCGATTTTACAATCGATTCAATAGCCATGTTTCCATCCACTTGTCAATCGAATTATCTGAAGTTCGGTGAAAAACCTCATGCGAATAAAGCTGGTGAAAGTGTGTTTCCATCCAACGGCTTTAAAGCGGATAAAAACCTGTGCGTAATGACGTCACATGCTGTTTTACGATCAAATTGGTATATCGAATTGATTTGAGACATGTTAAGGTGTTTCCATTCATTTTCTCACCGAATTGCACAACATTCAAGCCAACATTTGCAAACCAAGTTTTACTAGGCAAAATGGATCGCGCCATAATAACGTTTCCATCCGCGTTTATCGCATAAGCCGTATATCAATCAAGATCAAATCCGATGAGACCGATCGCATTTCATTTGAGTCGATATTCATAAAATTCAATCGAATTTTAGTGTTTCCATAAGGCATTTTTCATTCGATGTCACTTAATGCGGATAAAAACGTGTGGATGGAAACATAGCTAATGAACACTTATGTCTCAAAAATCGAACAGGATTTTTTCACAAAAGTGACAGCCCTAGTGTGTTTTAAGAATCGCATTCAAGTTTCGCATTCGGATAGGCCTGTTCAAAAGTTTCTGAAAAGAAGTCTTTTCTGCTCACCAAAGCTGCATTTATTTGATCAAAAATACAGTTAAAATAGTAATATTGTGAAATATTATTACAACTGTTTTCTATGTGAATTTATAGCTGAAATTTGTGTCACATGATCCTTCAGAAATCATTCTAATATGATTATTTACTGCTCAAGAAACATTTATTAACATGATTATCAATGTTGAAAACAGTTGTTCTGCTTCATATTTTTACGCAAATAGTGTAAATGTTTTTCAGGATTCTTTGATGAATAGAAAGTTCAAAAGAAATAGAAATACAAAAATGTCTTTGTCACTTTTATGTTTGAAAATGACCAGATTAAATATATATACTGTATAGATTAATTTGAATAAAAATACATAGAAAACATTTTTTAATAAAAAATAGCAACTAGCAACAAACGAAAAGTGCAAGAGAGTTTGAGCATGTGTTCATTTGAGAATCTAGTTGAAAATAAATGTTGTCAATCAAACAGCTCCAATATTATTTCTTAACTTTGACAAATGAAACAAATCCCACCTGTATTTTGCCCTTGACGAAGGTGGTGATGTCATCGTCGTTGTCAAAGATGGACAGAGTCTGGAGTAGGTTTGTCTCGAGCCACTCCCAGTGTTCAGTGATCTCCTTACGAGACGAGCCTGCGACACACACACACACACATCCATCAGAGCAGTGGTGTTTACTGTGGCACAGCCTTTAATATGTCACTCAGATTCAGGGCTGCAGTTTAAAGGTCAGGCGAGGTTTACACGAGATACGGTGAATGTTAATGTGGGCCATGTGACTCAACAACACAGTCACTCTCCAGATTTTCATCACTGTACTCGACGCTGAGATGTCGGCACAAAATGGCCCTGGGTAAAACAACTACTTGTAAAGGCAAAGAGTGACTATTTAGGAAAACAGCCAGTTTCCTTTGTTACCAGACTATCTAACCCATGTGTCACCTGACTAAACACATCTAGACAAATCAACCGTTATCTAGACCGAGAGCTCTTGATCACCTAAACACACAATCAGTGCTCGTTAACAGATGTGCTTTTTTGTCATTTTGATGGATTAATCATTGGAGTACTCCGGGTGGATGGAGACAATCCCGTCCAGGGTTATTATCGTCAACTAAAACCATTAAAAAAAAAATACGCCATTACTTGAAATAAAATAACAAAAACAAAAATGGTTTAAAAAAATATATAATATTCCAGCTAAACATCTTCATTTTTGCGGAAGTGCTTAAGTTAAAGTATTAAAAATAAATTAACTAAAAACTATATAGACATTTAAAATAAAAAACGAATAAAAATTACAAAAACAATATTTTACTAAATGACAGAAAATCTAAAAAATAAAATCAAACTCAAAATATTAACAAAAACTATAATAGTATATCAATGATATGAAAATAACACTAGTTTTTTTATGTTGTTCTGCGTTGATCTGCATTTGGCCACTGCATCTCACATAAGTGTTATGCTTTAAATTGTATTTATAGATATAATTTATGTATGTAGCACAAACAAATGCAGGACAAGTTACACAAAGTTTGATAACTACTAATAATAACTGCTAGTTTAATTACTGATTTAAAGAAACTGCGCTTTTTGAAACAAAGCAATTTGATTCACTGATTCGAAATGCTTCAAATATTGTATGCTGACAAAACCGGTGTTAAGATTAATATGCATAAAGATTCCTTTTATAAAAACCAATTGTACATATTAAATGGATTCTACAAATAATCAAATACAATTATGAAGTGTGTGTATAATATGTGTTGGTTTTATTAATCTGCAGGGCTTGTTTTGTGTTTTATGGAGGGATTGGCTAATCAAGCCAATAAGAGACAAATAACTACTTTCGTTTTTTATTATAGTAATGTGTCATTAAAATGTCAACATTATAAAACATATCCAAGATTAGTTAAAACCAGACAGACACTGAGATCGACTAAACATCGGCAAATCATCTAAAAGTTCAAAACATTTTAAAACAGATATAAACTAGCAAAGCCTCGTTTACTGAAAACACGTGACCGACCAATTAAGAAAATGTACCGGCCATAAATATTTTTTACCAGCCATGAAACTACCACCAATCCTCTATTCCAATGTCGATGCCACAGCTAAAACTACAAGCCAAACTAATATCAATTTAAAACATTATTAAAGACAAGTAAACAGTCAGTAATACAATAAGAACAAATAATCAAATTATAAGCAATAGCATAAATAAATACAATAGAACAAAGATACAAAATGAAATAAACTGTGCTTTTCAGGTACAGAAATGTAAAATAACAGCACAGTCTTCACTGTATAAATTAAACATCCTTTTTATAGTTACACAAATTATTGTCAAGAGCAGTGAGTGATTTTAGAAATAGACAGCAGCAGAAATATTAGGTGGCTGTCACTTTAAGAGCGAATGCACGGATCTAATATACTGATACACACGCATTTACTTTCTGTTTACATTCACTTAAGATATAACCAACTGTGTTTACTAGTATACTAGTATTTTTGTGTCTACTAGTATTTTTTTATGTGTTTACTAGTATTTTTTTTACATCATTTTCTGTAATTTGTGTCTACTAGAATTTTTTTTTTTGTTTACTAGTGTTGTTTGACAATTTTCTGTAATTTGTGTCTACTAGTATTTTTTATGTGTTTACAGGTTTTTTTTGACAGAATTCTGTAGTTTGTGTCTACTAGAATTTTTTTATGTGTTTACTAGTATTTTTGGACAAAATTTTCTGTAATTTGTCTGCTAGTATTTTTTTATGTTTACTAGTATTTTTTGACAATTTTCTGTAATTTGTGTCTACTAGTATTTTTTTTATGTGTTTACTAGTATTTTTTGACAAAATGTTGTGTAATTTGTCCGCTCAAATCACAAGAAGACGTGAAAGCGAGCTCAGTTTTGTATTCACACTGACCGAAAGGGTGTGTGTGTGCTTCGGATGCACACACAACTTTCCACACAGAGCACAAATAACTAAATGAGCTCCTTTCGTGTCTTCTTGCGCTTGAATATTTATATTGCCAAAATTTTTGATGATGCAGCGCTGACCCATCAACCGTCCCACGTTTGTTTACGTTCATGTTCTCACAACATTGCACTGTTAGAATTCATTAAGCCAACTGGCGAGTTTCATATTTATACTCGCGTTTGGTGCTTGGCGAGTGCTAATTTTAGGCGCTTGGTATATAGGTCACACAATAGGACAGAAAAGACTAGTTCAACTTCCGTTTCAAGCCGAGTTTAAGTACAGACCACAAGCGATGTTCCAGAAGATCTGAGACTCCCCCGTCTGGTGCAGGATCCTGTACGGCGCCACACGAGCACTCGAGTCCAACACGACGTCCAACGTACCCACCAGCAAACCTGAGAGAGAAAGAGAAGGGTTAAAGGGTTAGTTCACCTCAAAATTAAAATTTCTTGATAATTTACTCACCCCAATGCCATCCAAGATGTTCATGCAGTGGAAAAGAAATGAAGATTTTTGAGGAAAACATTTCAGGATTTTTCTCCACACAACGGACTTCAATGGTAACCAACATGTTGAAGTCCAAATCAATGCAGTTTCAAAGGGCTTTGAAGAGCTTCACACGGCTCTGCTCGATCCCAGCTGAGGAACAGGGTCTTATCTAGCCAAACCATCGGCCATTTTCTAAAAAAAATAAACATTTATATACTTTATAACCACAATTGTTGGTCTTGTGCTGGTCTGCGACACATTTGTCTGTGTAATCCGGTTAAAAAGGCAGGGAAGGGTGAAAAATTCCATCTCATTTTCTCCCGTTTTCTCCTCCAACTTCAAAATCGTCGGACATCTTTGTTTTAATTTATTATTTATTTATTTACTTTTAAATTGTGACGTTTCCAACGTGATGACGTAATGCCTGGCGCGTCGCAGACCAGCACAAGACCAACAATTGTGGTTAAAAAGTATATAAATGTTTATTTCTTTTAGAAAATGGCCGATGGTTTGGCTAGATAAGACCCTGTTCCTCAGCTGGGATCGAGCAGAGCCGTGTGAAGCTCTTCAAAGCCCTTTGAAACTGCATTGATTTGGACTTCAACATGGTGGTTGCTATTGAAGTCCATTGTGTGGAGAAAAATCCTGAAATGTTTTCTTTTCCACTGAAGAAAGAAAGACATGAACATCTTGGATGGCATTGGGGTGAGTAAATTATCAGGAAATTTTCATTTTGAGGTGAAGTAATCCTTTAAAGGCAGGGTAGGTAAGTTTGAGAAACTAGCAGAAAACTGCTGGATTTTGAAAGTATCCAACAGAGAAACTCCCACTTCTCCTTCTGGACTCCTTCCAAAGCCACGCCCCCAAAACACATGAACGCGCTCAGCTGGAGGACGCGTTTACCAGCGCCGAGCGGAGAGGAGAGCAGTGCATGGAGTGACGTCACCTTTGTTTGCCTGCGCTGACTCACTGTATAGACCAATTTCGAGGCGACGTCACAGTTACGTCACGGCGCTAGCTGGATGCAAAACAAAGTGAAAACTGGAGGCGGCCAATACAAACCAGCACAGATTCGGCTACATAATAAGGAGCTTAAATTATTATTATTATTATTAAATGTCATCTTGTTGTGTTGTTGGGTGCAAGAATCGATGAAAAATGAATATGCTGTATCTGGAATTTTTATTTCTAGAAAATATTCACATCATTAATGTCACTCTTTACATTGTCGTCTTCTTTGCGCTGGCTCGGCAGAACTGCGGATCGTACACACAAGTCTTTACATGATCATTCAGCACACAGTTATAGACATCTAAGGATTTATATGCCCTCAGTTTCTCTTTACGCTCGGTTTCTCTATCGGATAGGTGTAGAAGTCCGGCCACTCAACCGGAGGTAGCGTTACGTTAATCCTGTCAGATCGTCATCATTGAGTGAGCGTGTACAGTACGGGTCAGCCAATCTGGTTCCGTCCGTTAAAATTAACTTTTGCAAATAACAACCGCGGTCCTGGACACTGAGTGACCTTACACATTAAGATAAAATCGGATTTTCTCCAGTCATTGTTAAAAAACAAGCTAACAAAACTTGCAAACTAGCGTTAGGGAAGCGGCCAGAGGGATCGTTCTGCCTCCACCTAAGCTCCGCCCACAGAAACACGTCACCATGTTTACGAACTGAAAATTGGTCTATATGCAGGTACAGGTTAGCCTGGTTAAAACCAGAGCATTCTCAGTTGTAACTGAGTTATGGTCTGGCAAAGCGTCATAGACAAATCATTTCCAGAGGGGCGTCACCAACGGACGTCGCGGATAGACCTAAACCCAATCAGAGCGATGAAGGAGATGACGTATGCAGAGCGGCGGAGACACATCTCCGAGTGTTGTTCTTTGCTCGGTTTTTAACTAAAAGGAAACGTTCAAATGGCTTAAAACAGACGCGATAGCTGATTGGAACGAGTGATGCTCGACGGCGGCATCCATCTTTGTAATGTAGGCTACAAAATCTGCTTCAAAATCCCAGCGCTGTCGTCGTCGTGTAAAGCCCGCCCCAACGCTTCTGATTGGTGCCTCGATTTCGACGGATTGGAAATGGGCTTGAATGAGCTCTTTGCCAGACTAACTTTCAGACCAAATCTAAATTTGCCGGAAGTTGTCTGGGTTTGTCACCAGTTGTCAGGCTAGGTACAGGTGGTACTGGGAATTTTGACTGCTCTTTCTCTGCCATAATTGAGAGACTTCCTAGCTTCCGGACGTGCCTCTCCTCTTTCGAAATGAGCGAGTCAACCGGGCGCGCACATGTGGGCGGCTCCTGTAGCAGCAGGGGTGGTTGCCATGGTAGCGAGGGAGAGAGACGGGGTGGTTGCCATGGTAGCGAGGGAGAGTGACAGTCGCCCAGCCAATCATTGCATTCGTTCCGAATGGAAAAAGTAGCTGTGTTTATTGAAGCCCTGAGAGGACTACAGACACTCGATATTTATACTCTCCTTTTCAGAGTACTTACATTTTAGATATGTATTGGTATATAAAGAAAGTGTAAATTCGGCCTCTACTTCATAAACGCCACAGGAGAACTGGCCCACGACTGAGCCTGGGTTCTCCCAAGGTTTTTTTTTCTCCATTGGGTCATCTGATGGAGTTTTAGGACACCATCGGGTCACTTGATTGAGTTTTTCGGTTCCTTGCCACTGTTGCCTTTGGCTTGCTCAGTTGGGGATATTCAAATTAAATGACCCATCATACCACTGATCAGCTCTACCAAACTTGGATGTCTTTTCCAGTAATAAACAAACACTGTTAAGTTGTTTTGATTGATACTGTGAAGCAGCTTTGATACAATCTGTATTGTGAAAAGCGCTATATAAATATATTTGACTTGACTTTAGAAACAAACTGCCTACCCTGCCTTTAACATGTTGTCACGTCCTCGTGCTGTGTGGAGCGAAAAACATCAATAACAGCCACAGTGGTTTTCTTCAGTTCTCATTGCTGACACACTCACACACACACACATTCAGCAAGATAAACACTCCTGCGCGTGAGAGAGAGTTTCAGAGGAATTTAAGACATTCGTCACACACACGTCTTGACTTCCTCTTACGACGGTCACATAGTCAGTTAATGTCTGATTCTGGTGGAGAGATAAACACTAAGGCTTCTTCAAAAGCAAAATTGTGATCCATTAAGCAATGAATATTACACAAACGTGTTATTAACTCATCATCACAACTCATAACAATTTCACCCGTACGACGCAACTTTCAGACAACAACAGGTTAATGCTGAGGTCTACCTAATGCAATTGAGTTTATAGTCGGGTTCAGAGGTGAATGCAGTCATTCTGCTGTCATGTGAGGGACTCTCTGTTTCTGTCTGTTTGGTTTTAGGAGCCAGGGAGACACATATGAATGTCTTTCTCAGGAGGGAAAACAAGTCAATTTATTCTCATGACACCCAAACCAGGTGTGAGGAGAGCTTTTTCTGCAATTAAACTCATATATATATATATATATATTAGGGCTGTCAAATGATTAATCGCGATTAATCGCATCCAAAATAAAAGTTTGTGTTTACATAATATATGTGTGTGTAGTGTGTATAATAATTTTGTATATATAAATACACACACATGCATGTATATATTTAAGAAATATTTGCATGTATATATTTTATATATATTTATACATAATTAATATTATATATAAATATAAATATTTTATATATTAATAACACATTTTTCTTAAATATATACATGCATGTGTGTGTATTTATATATACAAAATAATTATACACACTACACACACATATATTATGTAAACACAAACTTTTATTTTGGATGCGATTAATCGCGATTAATCGTTTGACAGCCCTAATATATATATATATATATATATATATATATATATATATATGTGTGTGTGTGTGTGTGTGTGTGTGTGTGTGTGTGTGTGTGTGTGTGTGTGTGTGTGTGTGTGTGTGAGTATCATGTAACCATTAAGGAGAATGTTAAATATCAAAGGATCATCATATGAAGGGTTACAACTGAGGTAAAAATAAATAAATAAAGCAAGTTGTGTGTTATAAAACGAGGCACCTAGAAATGTTAAACTTATTTCAACCATATATCATTTATTATGTATTACTGGAACAATAACGGAAAAAAACAGCGTTAAACCAAGCACTAACAATTATAAATGTTACACGTAATATCATATATAAATAAACAGATGACGCAAACAAACTCAGCATCAATGAAGAGATGCAACCTAAACAACCCCACTAAC